TTAGTTATTTATATATAAAATTTAATGATCCTTGACGGTTATTTCATATATTAATAAACATATTTATATACATGTATAATTTCTATAAATCTTTCTAAATTTATGAGCAGCGCAAAGTTTCCGCTAGGCATGCAACCGAAATTAGTCACAGTTCGAGCCATTTATAAATTGGCTTTTGAGCAACAGGAAATGAGAAACCACCACTGCAATTCATGAAGTCGCAGCTCTTAAGGGTAGCTTCATAGAAAAGTGAGCTAACGTCTAAATATGAGCAATTAATAAAAATAATAAAAAAGCATCAAATGTGTTTCATAAGAAATTATGAAAAAATTTAATTAAAGCAAAATACTTGGCGCTTCCGCATGCACAACAATTAAAACACACACATACACACATATGAGTGTGTATGTGTTTTTGTGGGTGTGTGGTCCAGTCTATGCCAGAGAAGTTACCAAACATAGCCACCCTCTGGAATTTGCCATATCTTTTGTTGTGGTCGTTGTCATACCCCGAACACATAGAAAATAGCAAACTGGGGTAGTATGGACTAGAGAGAGTGTTTGTCACATAATGGAATGGATCATCGAGAGAGTTTAGAGTTGGTCAAGAGACAATAACGTAGGCTATTATTATACGATATATATGTATCATGGATAGATACATCATTATAACTGTTCTCCAGCGACGGTGCTCTACTCAAGACTGAGATTTTCGCAATGAGTCAATGACTGAATCTGATTGCAAATCGGTCAAGAAACTTAACAATGAGGGCTATTTTTATTAAAGGATATAAACGTATAGATCATATATAGATCATCTTAACTGTTCTCAAGCTACAGCGTTCTACACGAGCCTGAAACTTTCAGAATGTTTCATTAACTGAAGCTGATTGGCCATAACTCAAGGATTATAAAAACTAGGGACATGAAATCGATTGAGTAGCTGCACATAAAATAGATTCATTTGAGAAATATTTCTTTTTTCCTAGTGGGGTATAATATTTGGTAGGTAATATATGTATAAAGCACACCCCACACGTAAAATGTTAGTCTTTTTGGGCAAGCATTTGTTAATTTTGGCAACTTGGGACTCATATCCATGGCAGAGTACCTCCTAGTTGGTCACACCCAACTTGTTGCTATTGTTGGCTTGATAGCTGCCCTGGACGCCACGTAGCCAGTGAGGCATTGTTTTTGGCCTGGATGGCACTCATAATGCGAGGATTGCTGCGAACATGTCACCATTTCATTTGCTGCTCCAAGGAATTCCAAATTGCCAAGGGGCGAGTGGAGGGGCGCGGGCTAGAGGCTGGCTTGCCATTTGGACGACCCGCTCGAGAGCTTGTTATGCAAGTTGAAAGGGAATTTGTGTCAGGCTCTGCACTCGCTGGCGTCTGTCTGCGTATGCAGCTGGAGTGCGTGAGCCGTTGAAGGGCTGCAGAGGTATAGCAGGCGGAGGCGGGAGCATAGCTTACCAGTTGCATAATTATGATTAAATTATTTTATTAAAAGCATTTCATGTCAAATATGCAATGCATGCGTTAATTGCTGCGTCAGTTTCTAATTGCATGCACACGTTAGTGGGACAAGTTCAAAGGATCCATTTGGGAGCAGATGCTCAATGGGCGAAGCATGTGGACACTTTGTGCATGAATCAAATACTTAGCATTACATGCAGTTAAATGACATGCTTTCTGACGTTTATTAGAGTATTTAGCAAGCCATTAAAATACAGTTTTGTATTGTTTGTTCAAGAACTTTCAAGGCTGCAAAATCAGAAAAAAAATTAAAACTGATTAAATTCTTTTTATTTTCAGTGCAAGGCTGCAAGCGGTCAGGGAATCTAATCTGCTTTGGTCAGGAACAGCTTTTTGCTTGCTTCTAGTAACTATTACAATTTATTATTTTATAGGGAGTCGTGTAAGTCTAAATATCATTTGATATTATTATATTTGTATTAATAATAATACATATGCATACGAAATTTACTTTATGCTTTGCTCGATAGTTAGATATAGAGTTATAAGTTATCGGAAAAACATGACAAAATATTTAATGCTTCAAGTTTCTATGTAGTACAAAAGCTAGATTGCATTATAGACTGACCGGCCTAATGGATAATCAGATAACGCTATAAGGATTTTATCCATACTTTTTCCAATTTATATCATCGATATTTATCGATTTTTCATATATAGTGAGCAGAATCATTATGCAGCTTTCCATAATGCAGAGAGGGCTCTAGCTGATAGATAGATAAAAATTAGATCGGTTTTGAAAGGTGTTAATGCTCTTTCATAATGTGGTTTATTGACTGCTTTTGCAAGCCAATAGGGATTTTTATAATAGGATCTGCTTAAGTTATATTCACAGATTATTTTCACAGATCGAAGCAAGCTTTGAAAATGACGTCCTGAGTGTATGTTGATACAGCTGGACTGCTTCACTGAACAGAATAGGCTGTGCTCATTCCTCACAGAGAGCAGCGAGTGTAGAGATTGTAAAAGTCTCATTTAGTTTTTGAGTCTCACAAAATTAACTCGTTTTTCTTTGTTCTGTTTTCTTCTGAATTTATATCTATATATATATATATATATCAAAATATATATTTTTAAAAATCAAAATTACGAAGAAAAAAAACAACAGCACACGCCAACGTTAGTTATTTTCCGATATATACGTCTATGTATATAATATAGGCCCTATTCAGTACGTGCGTGTGAGTGTGTGTGTATGTGAGCGTGTATATTCGTGTTTTCGAAATTCGAAATTGAGACCAGCTTTTGTGCGGACGCGTGCGATCGAGTTGACAACAATTTTGCCGTAGCAATCCAATCCGAGGTCGTCGTCGCCATCAAAGCAGCCAAGATGAGCATCCAGGAGAAGGACAAGAGCATCATTTGCCACAAGTGCAACGAGACGATCACCAAGCGCGTGATCACCGCATTGGGCAAGACATGGCATCCGGAGCATTTCCTGTGCCGCCACTGCGACAAGCAGATCGAGGACGCCACATTCAATATTCAGGATGGTGAGCCCGTGTGCAGCGATTGCTTTGTCGAGCGCTATACGAGCACTTGTGCCGCCTGCAAGAAGCCCATCCTCGAGCGGACCATATGCGCCATGGGCGAGAATTGGCACGAGTGCTGCTTTGTGTGCGACGGCGCTTGCAAGAAACCGTTATCGAATCGTCCCTTCTACGAGCGCGACGGCAAGGCCTACTGCAAGCAGGACTACGAGGACATGTTTGCGGTGCGCTGCGCCAAGTGCGAGAAGCCGATCACAGACAGCGCCATTGTGGCCATGAATGCCAAATGGCATCGTGATTGCTTCCGCTGCAACCGCTGCGAGAACCCAATCACCTCACAGACCTTCACCATCGAGGGGGACAAGCCCGTTTGCCCCGCCTGCACCTGCTAGGATGGTAGCGAAATGCCACAGACACAGACATTCCACAGAGAATATATCGTACAGTACCCTGGACCCTATCGGAACTGAATAACCAACCAATCAAGCAAACACACAATCAACATTTATCTACAACTATCTATCTACCCTTATCTACTTCTTCAAATACATAGGCAAAAAACGGAAAAGAAAAATCACAAATAATCGAATCAAAAAAATACTTAACAAAATAGACCAGACGAAAAAAAAATTAAGATACGGACGAATATTATGCATTTATGAACATAACCGATTTATTGGAGTTTCATACATTTATAGTTTTAAGCGTTAGTGCATCATCGACTATTAGAATTATAAATGTTACTTGAATCGAAACCGAAGGACACAACCGAGGAGACAGCGACCCCGGCCAAGATCACAATTGGTCATATCTGCAGTGTCTTCATTTCATTTTCAAAAAAAAAAAAAAATGATGTACAAATTACTAAATTGAAAAATTTATCATGGACAAAATTCAAAAAGAAATAAAATCTGTTTCAAAATTGTAAATAAATTGATATCCAAAAAAAATC